TGTGTTAACTGATCAGTGTCTTTCCCAGGGAATTGAACATGTAAATACGAGGAAAAGAAATGTTTGGGTGTGGGGGAGGAGGGTGGGTTGGCATGCGGGAAATTATGAGAACAATAGATATATAAACAAGAAATTATGAGGCTTTTGCTGTTAGATTTTGTTTAAAACAAAACAAATGAAAAAGGGAGTGGATGAAATTACCTGTATATTTTGCGCTAGTGGTAAGAGGTGTTTGTAATTTATTTAATGAGTGTATTTAAAGATATGTAGATTGTGCCTTTGCTTTACAAAGGAATATCAAGGGCCTGTGTGTGGGGAAACAGACAACATAGGACAGCCAAGAAAGGCTTTTTAAAGGATGTTCGTCACAGACTGATGTCCAGCACATCAATGTCATTGTCTTTCAGATGCATATACGTATAATAGTCTTATTTTTTTAATTACAATTTAGTTTTAACTGAAACATTCCCAAGTTTAAGCACAAGGGGCTGAACTATATTCCACACTTACACCCATGCAAAACTGGAGTCCCCTTTCCTGACATGGGTAGGATGGTCTGGGTTCACACTCATGCACATGAATTTAGAATTTTTCCCAGCAGCCCAGGTGCTGGTAGGTAGCCAGGAAGACCTACTGACCACAAGCAGTCACTTGAAACTATTAATTTGCTGTTGCTTTTCCCATTGTTATCATCTTAGAGCTACAGGAGATGTAAGGAAGAACTGTGTGAGATAGAAAGCCTGATTTAGCATTAGAAACTGTGAGCCAGTATGATGCTTCAAAAAAACCCATGAACTTCACCAAAGCCTGTGGAAGTCAACAGGGTTTTTTTCCATGCATGTCAGTGGGTCTTGGATCACATCCTCTCTAGTTTTATTTCACTGGATAATCCCAACCTATAGGTTGCTAAGGTGCTAAGTCAGGGGTGGACAAAATGCGACCCGTGGGCCGAATGCGGCCCGCCAGGCCATTCTATCCAGCCTGCAGGGCCCCTAAAAAATCTAGAAAATTAATATTTATCTGCCCTTGGCTGCCTGTCATGTGGCCCTCAATGGCTTGCCAAAACTCAGTAAGCGGCCCTCCGCCTGAAATAATTGCCCACCCCTGTGCTAGGTAGTTCCATGGGGAGCTGAGCACTTTCAGCACTGACCAGCCTAAATGGCAGTTCAGGGTGCTTAGCACCTTGTAGATGAAAGCCCCTTGTTTTTTGGTCCTAACTCTCCTCTGCCTTACTGTGGTGTAAGTCACGAGTGAATCCACTGAAAGTAGCGGATATCCTAACTGTAAAAGTAGGGTGACATAGGGAGAATCAAACCCTTTGCTTTGAGAGACCTTCCAGAGCTCTTATATTTGGAAAATAAGCCTAAGGGAATAGGTGGGGCCAGGCTGTGTTGTAATGGGAATATGGCTGTACCATGTGCTTCCCTTATATAATGCTGGATTCCTTGAAAATTTTGTACTGGGAAAGGTATTTAGAAGTGCAGATTGAACATGAATTGACTTGTACCTTGAAAAGACATGGGATTTGGTTCTGCTTTGCAGTGCTCTAACATTCTTCTGAGCCATGCCCCTGGAATTAAGAGTCACCTTAGACTTAGGACTTAGGTACATACAAATGGACCTCCCCCGAGGGGCTAGGATCATGCATGTTACAGTCATGGGACCAAGAGACAGATTCTGAACGAGTCCATTTCTCACATGTGAATTCCCAGCTAAAGGGCCTGGTTCCACACTTGGCCTTTCAAGCAAGACTTTTAAGAGCCAAATGTGTTCACTTGGCTCAGATGCCTTATGTGCTGGTGTCTGAGCCAGATCTGGAACTGAGCACTGTGTGTGTTTATGTGTGTTGAGGGGGCTGTGGGGGAGAGAGAGAGAAACTGTGTGTATGTGTGTGTGGGCAAAAAAATGAGCGTGGGTATGTGCACTCGTGCGTACTTGAAAAAGATGGAGATTTTGTGTATGTGAGAGGGTTAGGGATTGTGTGTGAAAGAAATGAGTGTGTGTTTGAAATAAAAAGGTGATTTGCCATGCGTGAGTGTGTGGGTGAAAGAAGTTATGATTGTGTGTGTGCCTGTGAGTATGCATGTGTGTGCCCAATTAGACACAGGCTGAGAATTTGTTCTTTCTCACCACCTGGGGAGAAAAAAGGGAAGGAAGAGACCTTAAGACAAAGCTGACTTTAGTGTGAGCAATCAAGTGTGAATTGTACCTCACTGTTTTATTGCTTTCTTGTCTGAGCTGTGTAGCCCAAATCAGATCTCTCTAGAAGTATATTGTATTAATAATGTTTGTAGCTTTACCAATTATGTGTCAGAAATAACTCAAACTTTGCAAGCTTTGATTTTTCATTAAATAAAGAAATGTGCCTCTCTATGATGCTTCTAAAAAAATGAAATAAAAATGAAACTGAATGAACAAAGACCTGTGTAGAGAAATGCATAGTTTTCATTAAATTCTGTTATGTGTTATAGGAATTATTATTCTGAATAATATTAACATTAATAGCAGTAGTCATACTATTCTGGTATAGAGCTGAAAAGCCCCTGTCATAATCCTTGTGCAAGGGAGTGGAGAAAACACTGAAAAACGAAACACATTGTGATGTCCCCTGGTAGCCTGTTCTGGGAAGATATCTTTCAGTATGTGCAAAAGATAGCGCTGCTTTAATTCCTCATTTCCAGGTGTCCCTCTCTCCCTGGGCTGCAGACCCTGCTCATGGAGTCCTCCTCCCAACCAATGTTACACTATTACACTAGTGACAGTCTATTACACCGGTATCTGAAGGCTTTGACTGAAATCTATTCAATATTGTTCCAGGTACAACGTTACACACACTCAGGCTATGTCTTCACTGCAGTCATGCAGACAGACCCAAGCTAGCTATAAGATAGCTTACATGGTGACAGCAGTACAGCCAGTGTGAGCTGTGGATTCAGCCAGCTTCTGAGGCAGGTTCTGCAGCTTGCGGTGAGCTCTGTGCCGCAGCCCCTTGCTGTTGGCAGTCCATGAGCTAGCCTGTGTCTGTCTGCATGGGTGTAAACATCCTGTCAGAGACAGGCCCTGCCTTGATGAAACCAGAGCCTGAGAAATTGCCAATACACACAAGCAGTACTTTAACCACACCAACAGCCCAGGCTATTTCTACACTGGGACATTTTACCCACTTGGGCTCCTGACATAAAGCCTGGCAAAGAGCTCCTGGTGGGAAGCCAGAAATTCTGGGCTGAGCTGTGTCCCATACCAGAACCTTAAGAACCACCTTTCTGTGCTGCTGGCTACCAAGACCGGTATACCTTTGCCTTGATAGCCTGCTGGACTGCTACGTTCAAGAGAACCCTTGGTATTTTGAATGTTTGTGATGGACATACTTTGTGCACACAGATGGAAGGATGCTATTATTCTTTGTGGGCATAAATGGCACTTACCCAGCCACATAAGTGGCAGTTTGGACATTTGCACACAGTTTGTGATTCTATTGCCCATGAAGTGCGGACAGTGGCAGGGCACTTGGGGGACCTGCCACTTTAAGATGACAAGCAGCCTGCCAGTGGTGAGGAGGGCTAATGAAAGCCTCACTTGATTAGGAGAAGGCTGGGCCTAGGAAGGCTATAAACCCCAGCCCTGAGATGAGCTGGCAGTAAGATCTCAGAGGCTGCTGAGGGAACATCGGCTCAGCATAGCTGGAGCGCCTGAATGCCTGCAGGGAGAGTACGGTCAGCAGTCTGGAGTTTTGGGAAGGAATTAAGGGATGGAGGAAGTTACTGGGGACCTGGTGGGAGGTCTGCAGCCCAGAGAGGGGCAGGGTGTGTGGGATCAGAGAGGGTCTAGGAGCCCAGAGAGAGGGACTGAGTGAGATCAGGTGAACACCAAGGAGTGATAACACCTATGAGGCCTGAGGTGTGGTGCAGGGGTGGACACTAGAGCCATGCAGTTATCCCCTAAGACAGTGACCACATCCGCCTAGCGGTCACTAGTGAGAGCAGACTGGGAAACCTCATAAAAGTAATTACAGCAAGGTGTGGCAGGTGAGAGAAGGGGTGACAATCCAATGACAGCAGAGTAGGCAAGGGCAGAAAAGGCTCTAGGGCAGGGGCAGGCAATTATTTTGGGCAGAGGGCCACTTACTGAGTTTTGGCAAGCCATTGAGGGCCGCATGACAGGCAGCCCAGGGCAGATTAATATTAATTTTCTAAATTTTTAGGGGCCCCAAGGGCAGGATGAAAGGGCCTGGCGGGCCGCATCCAGCCCCTGGGCCACATTTTGCCCACCCCTGCTCTAGGGGCTTTGTGGCCACCCCTGGAAGGACACCCTGCTACATGGCAAGCATGTTTGTGTGATTCAGTGCATGCAGACAAGTCACAAAACCACAGCTAGCAGCTGGACAAAACACCACAACTAGCCGGTGTTAGATGGGGCCAAAGCATAGGAGAGTTCTCCCTTTCTTGGGGGGAGGAAGGGCGGGAGAACTCTCCCATGTTTTGGCCCCGATAGCTGGCCTCCTGGGTAGCCAAGATAGGGAGATATACAGGGCCAGGAGGAAGAAAGCAAGCTGAAGAGTACATGGCTCATCAAGCTGGATGTTGCTCTGGAAAGGTGGGAGCCCAGGCCTCTTGCTCCCAGTAGAGTGCAGTGTTTGCCATCCATTTTATCCAGTGCAGACTGGAAAGTCAGCTGTAAACTGGGTGAGGGGACTCTAGATGCCAAGACTCTGCTTCCTGGGCAAAAGCCCCAAGGATGCAGCTACTGAAGATGAGACAAAGGAGGTTCCTTTCTCTCACCCTACCCCCTGTATTTTTCCCAGCATTTATTCTTAGGACAGCAGTTTCCAATCTGTGGTATGGGTACCACCAGTGGTATGCAGACAGTTTGTCAGTGGCATGCGGTAACGGATTTATCATAATTACTTTATATGACAAAAATTTGCTGGTGGTACTGAAAAATTGAACTGAAACATTTGCTGGTG